ACCGAAATGTGCGTTGATGTATCATATAGGCTAATAAAAAATGATGTAAGCAGCCATCCGACGACCGTCGTACGACAGCGATGCTATTATACACTTGATGCTTTCGTCAAACTCACATGGTTAGAAATTGTTTTCAACTTGTCTCTTAAAACTCTCGAGCTTTCATCTTCCTTTCATCCTTGTGCATCAATATTGGGCTGGTATGAAATTCTATTTTTTGTAGTTTAATGATCAAACACAGTGATGGAACTCAATATCAGACAAAAATTAATTTGTTGAAGAAAGTATTGAATATCATCACCAACGTATTACATTTGGATCATGAGGTTGTTTCATGATTTTTTTTTTCAAATTTATGCATGCTGAGGACTCTTGCTGTTTTTTGTTATCATAACAAAGTTTATGAAAAAGAAGGAAACATTAATTAACTTGACTTTACTTTTAATCTAAAAGCTTATATTAAAGATCTGAAGTCTATGTTTGAGATATCTGACGTATCATACAAGCCGCAACTAGCTTTCGGTGGGATCTCAGCAAAGTGATATCATTACTGAAAAAAGAAACCTTGCATCATATTAGTTTTGTCGTTTTGTCACTCTGCTTATATCCTCATCTATAGCAAAATTTTTATGTAATCCATGTTTTTTGGTACAAGTATTGTCTTGAAAACATTTACAGTTTAGGTCCGCGGTAATGATTTTCACGCAATGCCGTATCAGCGTATTTTGATCATCATGTTCAATGAACTTACCGCTCCAGACCCTACGTTGGATGTCATTGCATGGCATATTTTAGAGGCTTTTGGGTAATAGTAAAAAAAATTACTGTTCATTTCCATTGTTATGGTCTTTTTCTCATTAAATTACAAAGGTATTCAATTTACAGACAGGCTTTATTTATTTTACAACCTCGACGAGTTCCGGGTTTTGCTTATGCCTGGTTAGACATTATTGGACATCGAAATTTCATTGGTCGGCTATTGAAAGACAGTTCAGAACCGATGAAAACAGCTGCCATGTACACTCAGTTGATCATATGCCATTTGAAATTCATGGCTCCATTTTTGCGTAATATTCAACTTCCAAAATCGATTGCCATGATGTATAAGGTATGATTCTCTACTTGAGTTGTGTTTCCTTTATTGCCAAAACTGCTTTTTTAAATTCATGTTCTTTTTGAACCAACTAACAGAAGAATAATTCTATCTCGTTGTTCTTTTATATGGTTCAAGTCTCTTTGGAACTTTCGAAATACGATAACCTTCTACTGGGGAACTTTGGTGTATTAGAGATAAAGAATTGAAGATTAATCATTTTTCAGTTTTAAAACTATAATTGCGCCTGAATTATTAGATTACACAAACTATTAGTTGTGTCACGACCCAGACCATATTTTGACAACTTAATATTTAGGGCACTCTTCGCGTTCTGCTAGTGATTCTGCATGATTTCCCAGAATTGCTTTGCGAGTATCATATTGTTATATGTGATACTATACCACCAAATTGCGTTCAGTTGCGCAACCTTGTACTTAGTGCTTATCCGAAAAATATGCGACTACCTGATCCGTTTGGTTCAAATTTGAAGGTGACCTTTTTCCGTGTTTTGAAAATTTCTTTTTCCAGAGTCAATGTTATATATAATATAAAATCGATGTTCGCTTTTTATAGGTTGATAGCTTGCTGGAAATGACTCAGGAACCAAAAATGAATATCAATATGGCTGCAATTATTCCATCTGATTTAAGAACGCAACTAGATGATTACTTAAATACTCGTTCTTCTGTTGATTTTCATGCTAATCTACCAAGTTTGCTGCAGGTAGTCATTAATTCCACAGATTTTTTTTAGTGATTCGGACACTTATGATAGTGTTCTTTTATCTTATTCTTCGAAGAATAAATTCAGTTTTAGGTCAGTAACATTGCTGGTTCCAAGTATAATACAACGGTCATGAATGCAGTTGTTATATATGTGGGAATGCGTGCAATTCAAGCAATTCATGAGAAACAACAGTGCATTACAATGACTACAATTGCACACACAGCATATATGGATATTTTTCAGAATCTGGCAGTAAGCTTATGCACTGAAGGTTCATTTTCCAAGAATCCGTTGCTTAGAAATAGTGTAGAAAATTTTTTAAAAATATGATGGTGCACTGTTTATTTTTTAGTATTTTCAAATCAAATATTTATGCGTGAAGCAATTTCACTTCAGGGCGGTATTTGCTGTTTAACGCTATAGCAAATCAGTTGCGCTATCCGAACAGCCATACTCATTATTTCAGCTGCACCCTATTATATCTGTTTTTAGAAGCGAATACTGAAGTAATACAGGAACAAATTACGCGGTATGCATTTTCCTAAAAATATATTGATATTAACTCCCTTTCACATTTCTCATAATACGGTGAAATCATCTTACAAGTGTTATTTCAGATCTTTGATCTTTTGGTATAGAATACGGATGTTTTTTTTTTAGAATTCTGTTCGAGCGCCTGGTTGCTCTACGTCCACATCCATGGGGTTTATTGATTACATTCATTGAACTGATCAAAAATCCAAGCTACAGTTTTTGGAAACATGATTTTGTACGATGTGCGCCAGAGATTGAAAGGTTCTTATTGATAAATTTAGAGCAAAATGGTGAAAGTGAATAACAGAAGTGCTAGGCAAACGAAATTCTTTAAGTGTGCAGTTTGTTCATTTCATATATTTGCTTTTTTTGCTGTTGTTCAATTTCCAAACATTGTTCATTAATTTCTTAGACAAGAGTTAGCAGCATTTGATGAGAGGTACTCACTATTATTTTTTGAAATATCGTTTTAAATTCTGTAATGTACTAAAAATAACACTATTTATCAATATGTCATAGTATGTGCTTACTTGTAGAAAAATGGTAATCTTATAAGTAAAGTCCAGCTAGTAGCAGTAATTGTTGCAGTAAAGAGGCATGCAAGGATTTAGAACAAAGTTTTGATTGATTAGCCAGTTCTGAGTCTTTCCATATTCTTCTCACTAAGGCCACGACCTAGAATTTTGTCTCAAACTTTAAGTTACGATTCGGGCAATTATTTCAGGCTTTTCCAAAGTGTGGCAAATTCTTGCATGGGTTCAAATGCACGTCATATAAATGCAAATGCACCACATGCATCGCAATTACCAGCAGGTAACAGCCCGCAAACTATACAGAATGTTCAGTGAGAAAGATCTCTGCATTTACTTCAAAACGAACTGTACATTTATAATTTTTTTATAATCTTCTTCAGGATTAAAATGCAAGAAAGATTTATATTGTTGAAAGTGACTTTGATTTTCCCATTATTTCGAAATTTATGTTTCGATATGAAAGTATGACCATGCTTGGTAATGTATGTTTAAAAAGAAAGCATTTCTCTTGCCTGTTTTAGAATGTTTTCGTTCTGTGTGTTTCCGTGTGTTGCATTTATTGTGTGTTCGATACTTGATGGTCATCTTTTGCATATATTCGTAGGCTTTGTCTGTTCAACAAAACCTTTTGTTTCTTTTTGTTTATCCTTCCATGTAAATTTATGACTGGTTGTTTTACATGCTTGAGCAGAAATATCTCCTCAATTCTGGATTGCTTTAGAAATGCATGAAAATTCTGTTTTCGGAAATTAATAGTTCATCAAACCGCATTGTTCTGCAGAACTCATCAAAATCCTTTCAAAATATTTTCGACCGAAACGAGAGGTGTAGCTCTAATGCGCAAGCTGGTAAATGTTGAGCTGAATTATTTTCTGGATTTATAGTATTATTGATGATAGTACGGGTCGTTCAATTCAATCGTTATGTTAGTCGCTGCAGTTTGCCGTCTCCCATTGAATTGTATTTAGCCCATTCCTTGGTTCAATTTATTGTTACAGTTACTGTGCAGATCTGTTTACGAATTTTCTTACTTTATATTCTTTGGTTTTCATTTCTTCATCGTTTTAAAGATATAAAAGTGTGGAACAATAAAGAAACTGTCGTATTCGTGATGTTGGAATATTTTTTAATTCTCATTGTCTTTTCTTCGCCTGTTTGAAATGTTCGTAAAATTTTTGTTTCCATTGGATATTGTTTTATATTGCTTATACTTTTCTGCTATAATCATTTTTTTGTTTCTTCGTCTTCTCTTTTTTGTAACTAGATTTTACATGTTTTGCAAATTCAGTATGAGATTTATATGTGTAAAATTTCAGTAGTATGTTTTATGTTTATGTTTCTTCGCTAAAATTACTCTTTTCAGTATGCATCGCTCTTATAAATGAAGTACAAATTATTGAAAGCAATATAAGATTGAATGGGAAAAGATTGGGATTTAATCATTGATAAGGCGGAAATTAAGATTAGATAGACTGATTGAGCAATGTGAATTACTTGACGATTCTCATAATACTCCGTTTCAGTGATACATGGAAAAATTAAATTATAACTTTGAAGGGAAGCAGTACGATTTCTTAATTACCCATCTTTTTCCTCCAGCTGCGATATTGGTTTCAATCTAATCAGAACTAAATCAGTGTGACGTTGGATGTTCCGTACAATGGCATTTTATATTTCATAAATACACATATAACTGGAGAAGAAAGTCATTACTTTCCTTGGCTTCATTAGTTTTTGCTATGAATAATCATCGGTTGTTTTGAAATATTACAAAGTGTGAAGAAGAGATACAAATTAACATTTATAGTTGCAGAAAACATCTCGCATCAACAAACTTAAGCGTTTTCATCATGTTACACATTCCACTCGTAGACATATATGCGAGTGGAATGTGCAACATGATATTCTATCTACCATGTTGCATCCTTTTTGGACTTTTGCACTAGGAATTCCCGGGATAGAGTTCAATAAGACCTTTCTTATTATGTGGGTAATTGAAGTAGCGGATTAATATAGCAATAGGAAAATGGCTAATTTAAATAACTTCATCTCACACGTAACCCTAATTAATAACAAGTTCATTCCTACATATATCTCCAATGGACGGACCATCATTGGTTGGTTACAGAGGCAGGCGATAAACCATTTGGTGGATTAGCACACTCCGTTAGCGTGACTCTCCCCGTTTTTTGTGCCATATTCGTTAGCGATAATTCTGCTTCCTCGTTTTCATCATCTGTTCTAATTCTAAAATCAGAAAACACTTCACTCTCTTATATCAATCAATCAATATAAGACATATCCAATATTTGTGCGAAATGAATTTCATTTCATAACATGCAAAATAAGTAAATTTAATTACTATTAAATTAAAAATGCGAAGCAAAAATATGCAAGGTGACATGCTATTAAATGAAATGAGAGAAGCGAACACTCACAATTCAATCATTTTAAAATACGATCCGAAATGATGCTTCATTTGAAATATATCAAAGAGATAGATACTATACCAAATTACTATATTGATTGTAGGCAGTAAAAATACCTGTACAGGTATTGTTGAACAGCTGTAGCAAATGTCAAAAATATCACACAACATTGGAAAATTGCTTGGCGTGGTAGATTCTGTAACAAAATAATAATAACGACAACATTTAATGGAATACGACAGAAATTCATAATTGTTGCTCGAGTAGCTTCGGGAATATAAATTCCACGCATGAAACCCATTGAGGGCCAAAAGATTCCAACACAAATCTCAAAAAGTACAAACGCTGCGAATATGGCCATCGCATGATTTGGCCATATAATTGGTGTAGCTAAGCATAAAACTGATGTTGCCAATACAAGTCTGAAATGTGATAGTGTGGAAATGAAATGAAATATATTAGAACTGATATGATGGTGTATGACACAATACTGAAGTATAAAAATTCCCAATCATTGTTCTCACTAATGCGGGCTAAATTAAACAGCTATAACTTTTCTTTAATATGAATTATTTATCAGAAAAGAAATAAATTAAAATTGAGAGATAAATCAGAAAAAAACTGAAAAACTCAAACTGTATTGATGATAATAACATTATGAAAAATAATTTATATTAATCAATCATAACTGAGAAATTACTTGAAAATGTCTTTTATTTTAATATTGCAATTAACGCTTAGAGAAAAGTAACATATGAAAATATAAAAGTGTTTAAGTATAATGAAAATTGATTTTGAAAAAAGTTTAAATTCCTTCGAATGCAAGAGAAACCTCATAAATGATTCTGGTCGTTGGTATTTGCTAAATAATTTGAATATCATTGAGCCGATCATTATGGCTACCATAAACGATGCAAAGATATATCCGTGTTGTATCACATCATTGCTTGCATCTGATAATGCCGGTGTCCATTGAAGGACGAATAAATACAGCGTTCCTTCGAATAAACTTTCAATCAATGCCAAACATATTACCCGCCAGTCTGAAATAATCTTTACATCAACAAAATTACAGCTAATCTCTAACCAAAGTAGATAAAAATTATGCATTCAATTATTAACATTGCAAAACTTTGGGAGAATATGAAGTTTTGCGGAAGAATTTTTAAACAGAAGATTAAATGAAATATTTAAAAAATATTGAGAGCTAGCCATTTCTCATAGCACTGTACGCATCCATAAACTGCAGATTGAGGGCTGCTTTTTCACAGCCATAATTTTCTGTCCAACAAACAATAGCACAAATCGTCATTGTTACCAGCACCGCAATTGATATATCGAATGGAATTCTGCAAAACTTTTGATTTCAACAGTTTGTAAGATGCTTCTTTCATTACAGAGACTAAGATAATTTGTGTGAGAAGTGGTACTTCATATCATCCTAATGTTACTTAAATAAAAAGAAATGGTACAAACTAAATTATTGTTGGCTAATTTGTACTTTAATTGAAGATAACTTATTAAATCCTATAAATAAGCAAGATGGCAAGATTTTTTTATGAAAGATTTATGAAAGAAGGAACAGGTTAAATAGCAACTGGAAAAATTTAAATAAATAATAAAACGAACACATATCCGAAAGCATCAGCAGAGTACTGTGCCACCACTCCAGAAATAATTGCCACAATTGAATTACCCAAAGCTGCATTTGAAAAAATTGTCTTCAACAGATCTGGATCGAAACCACGCTGGAAATAGTTGAAAGTACTGACAACTTTAATTTTAGAACAGTTATAATTTTAATTTAATTAATTTGGAATGAATTTGCTATGATTAAAATTTTCCCATATTAAAAAACCTAACATACATATCAGTTATGATTTCTTAAATGATTGTACCAATTTTTAAGTGAAAATTTGATTCATAATTATGATAATATTAACGGAGAAAAAGTTAAGGAAGATGAGATTAAGAATTTTGTTGACAGAAACAAACCTTATTGTGCTCGCAAACCAACCATGATTCGAATGCACTGTACAAGATAGATGTTGCTACACCACCAAATATTCTACCAATGATTAAAATCCAGAAATTCGCAAAATGTTTTGTAACACATGCTGCGGCATACAGTATGGCGTACAGTAAGCAACTTAATCGACGTCCGCTATAATATGACTAATTAATATGTTGCAATACTTTAATTTTTCACTTTTATGTATGCAAAAATTTCTTAATATCTTTTAGAACTTCAATTTTTTTTTAGCAAAATGATATTAAATTAAAACGATCAAAAAAATTTACTTAAATGCTATTATGAAATTTTAAACTATAAAAACTGACATCTAATGATGTATGTCAGTAGTAGTTTGAACAAATATTGGTTAAAGAAAAAATTTAATTGTTAACTGAATTTTTGCAAGTTTGTATTTATTTTAGTTTCAAATCAGGTTTCCATTCATTTTTTTGTCGCTCACATAATTGATTTTTTTCAGTTTAAAAACTTGTCTTACTTCTTCTTCAAAATTCAATCTGATCCTTAATAATGTGAATAGATTTTAATTATCAAATCATTATCACTCACTATTTGTCAGCGGTGGAAGCGATAAATGTACCAAAAATAAGACTAGAACTAAAGCCAGCCATAAATAGTAATTCAATTGCATGCTTTGTCATCCCATAAGAATCGTAAAGCGCATAAACATAAGGTCCTTGAAGCCAGTCACCTGCTGAAATGTGGATATAATTTATTTTCAAGAATTATATAAGGTTTTTAAATTTAAAAAAATTGACACTAAAAATTGAAAAACAAGCTTGTGGCAAGAAGATAGATAAGAAGATAACGGCACTGAAACTGTCGAAATATAGAAGTTTCGCTTGCAATATTCTTGCTTCTTGTATAAAAATATTGTATAATACAGATGATTGCGAGTGCATAAAAGCTCCATTCGAAAAACATTGAATTTTTCACTGAAATTAAATTAAATTACGAATGAATTTATTAACGTACTAACAAATTTAATTTCAAATAATTATTTAATTATTTTTAATTCTTGATTAAAGAATTTGACATTTCAGCTATTAACTTTAATTAAACTTCCTTATAAAAAACAGTTCGTGATATTGACAGTCAAAAAATTCTGGTTCTTCTAAATATATTGTTTCTATCTCTCAAAAGAATCATTATTTCGAGAGTTTATGGAAAAAAAAGCATATGCTTGTTCCAAAAAAAAGCTGTCATTCTTGTTTTATTAAATCAAATTAAGTTAATCCCAATGCAATAGGCATGATTGTTTGAAATTATAATGTCAAATGGTTTCAAGAAATTTTCGGAGTTAAACTTGATAAAATATAGGGATTTCTTTTTTTTGTAATTTTAGTCATCATAATTTTATTACCAATATGTAATTGAAAACGATAATAAACAAGATAACATGAATTTAAATAAAAATTTGAAGATCCTCTTAACCTCTTGATAAAACGAAAAGTTTTCTCACTTTAATGAAATTATTGTCAGTATTCGAAGTGTTAGCAATAATATCGTAATATTTCGTCATTTTAAAGAACGAACGATAAAACATTGTTAAAATTGATAATTACCCGATGGTTAATTCAAAAAAAGGATAAAATGGAATCCGGGAACTAGCAGGTTTTTAAACATTTAACATCAAATATGAAATTTTCTCTTTCATTTTGAATACAAAAAAGCAAAGTAACTGTGAAGCGCATTAAAATGTAAACAGTACAGATTGAAATATCGTCTGTCATAGCATAGCGCTTTAAAAATATTACAATTTCATCATGAAAATTAGTCTTTGATGAAAGTGAAAAGAAAAAAAATGAGAATTGGGAAAAGTAAAGGAGAAGGTATGAACGATGCACATTTATACATTAATCTAATTTATAAAACATTCACAAGGAAAGAATGAAGCATTTCCGAAAAATTCAAATATTTTAATAACATAAGTAAAATTGAAAATCAAATTGTCCATCTAATTTTTCAACTTTATACAAGATAAGAATCTTTAACCGAATATTTTATATCAATATTTGTTGATCGGACGAAATCATTAAGTTAAAAAAAAAATTAGATTTTGGAAAGGAAAAAAAATATTGGAATAGTAATCAGAAAATGTTTGATTTTCCAAATACAACTTAATAAATTAATTTTAAATCTTTCACTTCAAACAATGGGAAAAAGTCATGAGATGCTCCGTAAAGAGGAAAGAGGGAAGAGAACGCCGGGAATGGAAAAGTGAGCATTTTTCACTCTCGTTCATGTAATATTTTTCATCAACAACAATTTAATCATTTTAAAAAATTGATTATTGATTGGATTTTTTTAGACATTTTACTTTTTAGACGCGTTATTATTTTTAAATAGTATGTTAACTAAAGGAAGGCAAAAGAATTAAACAACAACAGCCAGTGCTATTGTACAATCGAACTTTGCTCTTCAATTTTCCGATATTAACAATCATTGCGAAAATATGAATATCGTTCAATGCCTTCTATTGTAGCATTTCATTAAAGTAATCAATTATTTGTTTCGTTTCTTTTCTTCTCATATTTGAATATGCAGAAATTAAAAACACGCCAATTCAATATAAATGAATTTTCGCACGATTCTTTATTTATTTCTATAGCAGTTGGAAATTTTCGGTTAGAAATTTTTCACGTCTGGGAAATGTGAATTAGATTTTATGTGACATATCATCACATACGGAATCTCATAATTCTTTTAATTGCAAAATTTTAAGATGAAAAATTACGTAACTTTCAAAATACAAAATATTAGAAGTAATTTTAAAACTAATCTTTTCTTTCGAAAGCAAAAATGGCACTGGAAATTTTAATTATATATTTTGTAACAGTACTGAAGAGAAATGGACGATAAACAACAATTCGCCGTACCGCCATCACCTTTACCGCCTCCTGTACCATCAATAGCGCCATCATTACCATCATCGTCATTTCCATCAAAACGTATTAATTAAATGTTATGGTCAAAAAATTTATGTAAATGTGATTTAGGCATTTTTAACATTATTAGTTTTAATTCCAATGAGTGGAAAATGTTCAGAAAGATTAATTATGAATTACTTCTATGAATAATGAAGTCCAAATACGACTAATTTCAGTCACGTATATTTCACATATCTTTTTGCAAATAATTTTTTTTCTGAATGGCTCAAGAGTTAGTGCAAAATTAGAGTAAAACTGTCATTATATGGTGTGAAATTTTATTTTTTAATTGAATTTAGATTAATCAAAAAAAATTACAAAGTTTTCGAAAACTGAAAAATTCAATTTCTTTTGAACTTAAAAATAAATTTTACAAGCCTTTAATTCAAATACCGAAAAAAAACAAATAAAAACCGTTATATAAACATAATAAATGATGTTTCGGCTCCAGAAAAAGTAAGTTCTTTTGACACACAATATTTCTTACTTAATTCAAATATTGCTCATAAATTCTAGTAACAAATATGTTGTTGCTAATTTTAAATCATCGCAAACATTTCTATCAAAGTAAAGTTGATTTTAATCAATAAAATCCTGAATTCTAATCATGTCATCACTTGAACCGTGATTGATGTCAAGATTGTACACTTTTTTGTAGGAAAACAGTAATGATAATGAATTTGGAATGTTTTCTTTGTTTTGCTCAAAACAAAATATCAGTTTTTTTTTTTAAATTACAGGACAGAAAAATCAAAAAGTGAAAACGACACCGACAGAGCGAGGAAAATTGGCATTGTTTATCGCCTCAGTCTGTTTCGGCGTTTCATTCTTTACTTTTTTGTTTGCAATGATGTTATTCATACTTCGAGTATGACATTGCATACCTCTCTCTCTCTCCCTCTTCCTTCAAATTCGCTTATTTAAATTACATTAAAAATTAAAATAAATAAAGCAATTAAGAAAATAATTGAAAGTATTAGAAAATTTTAAAATAATCTCATTAAAATCTCAGTGTTTCTTTTCTATGAGCGTATCACTGCTGTGATATTAATTACAGCATGCATGCATGTATGCATGCATTTCCACACCTAAAATAACATTTTAAATTTATCCTTCCAATAATCAAATTCATTGAAATTATTCACCACATCGATATGAATCTCATGAAGTGTCACAACCTGTACGCATGCACTATCATTATAATCAAAGTTTGCAATATCTTCTTTAAAATCGGATCGCTCACTGCAGTTTACATTTGCATGATATCAAATAACTCATTCGACGACAATGAGAATCAATTCATTGTTTTTTTCATATCGATATGCGATTGCCTCTTATTCATTGTTATTTTCGTTCATTTTATCGAGGGAAAAATCTACATTCCAATGATATCTTTTATCACATGCCCTGCAATTACATTTAATTTTGAAATAGAAAATTTTGAAATAATATATCGCAGTTCGTTCATCGATCCATATCATTAACTTGTTTTTTTTATTTACTTTTTTTAAAAATACAATCGATAGAACATCAAAATTTGGCACATTTATAAATAAGGATGAATTGAAATGAATTATGAAGCAGAGAGTACAGGTAATGCATGACAACAAGAGAAACTTGATCTGAGAAACGAGCGATATCAATCAAAATGGGTTAATTGTTTTCTTTGAGTTCAGCAAATGATTTGAAATTATGATAAAATTATGAAACTGAAAACATCAAATACTGAAAGCAATGCAATCGTAACGGATCAATGAAAAAATTTTTTGATTTATTTACACAACAGTGAAAATAAATTATTTACGTCACTTTTTAATTATAATTATGCTTAACAATAACTTTCAAATTTTCAATGTTGTTATCAATCAAATTGTAGCAAACTTATAAAAATAAACAAATGCCGAAAGGATTTTCAAATAAAAGTGCTAAATCTATTAAAAAAGAATGAATGTTATCTTTTAATTTGTATGATAAGAATTTCATAATTTACGACACAGTGTGATTCTAACTAATTTTTTTTTTTAATATTTTACAATTACATATAAACAAATCGTACCGTATATTATATTTATTCGCTCATATCATTAATAATTTTATGTTTATTTGGTTTGTTTAAATTTTTGAAATCAATAAGATATCGTCACAGCATGCATTGATTTTCAATGCTTGATGGCATCTAATCGAATTAACATTGCACCAAAGAATCTGTAAAATTTAAATTGTTAGAAGCATTTTACATATCTTCAGAACTTTCCCGTCACAATTTTTTAGTACAGTTTTTTTGTTTTGAAATTTTCTTTGTCATTGAATGTTTTACTTTTTGCCTAACTTGTAGAATCAACGAGAAAAGCTATCACGAGTTTTGTCACAGATCAATTCTTTGCAGTTGTTGCATCATGTCTAATGCAATAAGTTATACCAATTGATTGTTCATATTGAGAAGCATTGTCTCGAAGACTAATGATATCGGGTTGATCATAGTACCAAAACTACTTCATGCATAATTTTTGGAAATTAAATGAAACAAATTCTAATAGATTTTGAGGTAGACTATTCGGCAGCACTCCTGGTCATACTGCTGGTGAAGATAGTTCATAACATTGGTATTGACAGCACTGTTTCCAATATAACAGTGGTAATATTTGATTGAACCGATTTGAGGAAAAGATTACACCGGTTGTTAGGGAAATCTGATCTAATCCTGGTATACAAAGTATATATTGGTCGTATCAGTTTGAACATATATAATTTCAGTAATTTTTCACTTTCTCATTTTTAATTCATGAAGAATTTTAAATCCTTAAATATATCGTAAAGCTCAACTATAATTAAAATCTGTTTATTTACTGAAATTTGTTTTTTTTTAAAAAAAAAACAAAAATAATTTAATAGATGTGAATGAAAATGATATTTGATGTGCTTATTTTTGCTCTGAAAAAATGTTGCTATTGTTTTTGTAGGATTAATGAAAATTTTCTAACCCTTCAGAAATGCAAAACTAAACATGAAAAAAGTAGTTTGGAGATTTTTGTGGGAAAAAACTTCATATCACTACTTATCATATTATAGTAATCTTTATAACTCTTTAACTCATTGAGAATCATCAGCGAAGGATTAAAGTTCTCGAAGAATAGTATTGAAAGGAATCAAAAGTAGCGTACTTACAAGTAAAAAAAAAATTTCTCACTTATTCTTATTTTATTCTTTCTTCTCAAAAATCTGCTCTAAGAGGGCTGTTCATTGTTGTTTCAAAATTCATCCAGAATTTTTATTGCTACAGAATATTTTCATTGTAATAATATATATTTAAAAAGTATTAAAAAGTAAAATGATCTTCATTTGGAATGGTAATAATTGGCCCAACTTTTAACACATGATAATAATAGATTCATAGAACTTTTCTTGCTCTTGAAGAAATTTGTGTTTTTTGTTCGATTCAACAACATAACTATAGAAATAATTTATGTAGCATGAGCTATGTATTAGTTGAAAATATCTCGTTGAGAAAAATCTTCATTCATTTATTCAAACATTTTTAGAAAATAAAGCCTTAAAAATATTCTTTTTTTGCTTTATCAAATTTTATACATTTTCAAAAAAAAAAATATAACTTCCTATATTAATCTGTTAACAAATAATATTACTATCAATTTTCAATCAAGCTGCAAATTCTTTGAAAATATTTTACTCACGTATTGATATCACTCACTATTCAAGTAAGTAAATAATGAGTGATAGCAAAAAGGATAATATTATATAACATTAAAAAAATATAGTAACATATTTATCAGTAAATCGATTATGCAGAAAGTTGATTTTACTGTGCTGCAGAGAAGTGATTGATTGCAAATTAAAATCAAACTATCATAATTAAACTAATTCCTTTCTAATTGTTGAATTGAACAATCAGATTTTACTTAATTCTTCCTTTAACATCTTCTGAATGCTACTGAGAATACGCGCATCGGAACGATTGATACCAAATGAGATGAATTCAGCTTTGGTAAGCATCAAGAAAGTTTCACAGTCCACTTCTTGTTCCTCTAACTTCTGACACATATGTGGCGAGCATCTCCTGTTCAGAAAATCCCAATATTTCTCTGGAAATTAATTCAATTAAATGATCGCTTCCAGTTTATTGGAATATTTCATGTTTGTAGAATTCCCATCTTTTTTTAATGCTTATGTCAATTTTATATGACAGTTACAGCTGAAAAAGAAACTAATGGCTTAGTTTCACTGATGCTGCTTACGAGCTTTTTATCAAATTTCTGAAGATTTTTGTTAAGGTAGTCAATATCAGCTTTAAATCGTCACTTTATCTTCAATTTATCAAAGTTACCCAAACGCAAGTAAAAATTTTGAGCAATCAATTGAGTTCCTAGCACATTTCGATACTTCGTATCGGTATTCGGTGTTACGATAAATATTCATTATAACTTTTTCATAATAAATTAGAATTATAAAGGACACATTCTGCTAGTAAGAAAGAAAAATTAAATTACAATTTAATCAAAGGAAAGAATGACTAACTTTCATATTTGTAAGCCGAACATAATTCACTGATACTTTTGACCATTGGAATTTCACTATCCTGCCAATCAGTTGAAGTCAACATTGTTGATAGATTTGTACTATTTGATGAAGTCGTTGAACAGCTGATATTATGAAAAAATACATTAGAGGTAGATTATCACTTCAAACTCTTTATGAATTTTTCCTGAAATCTAACTTTTTTGGTGATCCGGAACCAAAATGAAATAGAACAGATTGAAGTCTCGAGATGCTACTGCACTGTTGTTGCCGCATATGCAAATAATTAGTGTTAATCATTGATGGAGGTAGCTCAAAATTTGAAGATTGAGTAGGAGAATTGTCCTAAAAATTGAAAATGTATGGAAAGGGTTAATCAAATAATTTAAAAGTAACAAAGTATATGCCGACTTTTCCAATCCTTTTTTTTAAGCAATCACTCAATAAACACCGGTATTGCTCTTCTTCATCAACATTAGCCATAATTTTCTCTTCCTGCAAATATTACACTCATGTTAAAAATTAAAAAAAAACTTGCTATCCATCGATTTGGCATTTTTAGTGCTTCTACCGATCTAATTTGTTCAGGTTTCTTTTCCTTAAAAGTACAAATTAAATTCATTCTTCTTTTTAGCTTTCATTATGCATTCATATAGGAAAGGAATAAAAAAATAAATATTACTTTTTATACATTATATTTTCAATCATTTTAAATTTATTTGAAGAATAAATTTCTATGCATACCAAAAGTGAAGTAGAAGTAGCCATAAGGCTACGTGATTCATTGCTGGCTCCAAAACAAGTGCAAGGACTGTCTGGCCAAGCGAGAGCATCGAATAATTCTTCTGGTACCCAATTTGATTTTAGGCCCATATTTTGAACAACTTTCTGCAGAAAACTCAATTGGCTAGCACTTCTTTCTAATTTAACTAGCTGGTGACACATCGACTGAAACGAGTTGTTTGTGATCTGTTTGTTCGATCAGACAATCCATTATGTTTTCAGATACCACCCATATATAAGTAGAACTATCGTAATGATTTGATTCAAAAATAAGTCGGGAATTCTTTTAAATCAAATTTTCTATCTTTGTGAATAAAACGGAATAAACTGAAATAGTGAAATGAAGAAGCCATCGATAGGTCATTTAGCTTGTTGTTCAAAAGGAAAGGAAAGATCGGATACTTGGCTCATTGAACTCCGTCCTGAAATCTTTTGCACTATTTTTGATATCCTTTCAATGAGACACATTTTTTGCGCTGATTTTGTCAGGAGCAGTTGGATGGTCGTTGGTGAAATGCCTTCTGAAATGCCCTCTCAGCATTAAATGTTTGCTAAGGAAATTTATTAAAATGAGAATCTCTCTTACAAATGACAATCACAGAGAGAGTTATTAAAACACTGTCACCGATGATAACAGCGACGATAAAAATCATTTGACATAAACTCTGAAAATGTTGGTAAATGGGATGCAACTGATTTCTGTTTCGATATGAGAAAATTACAAATTAGGCAAATTTTTTGAACAGCTTTCAGTTAAAATAAAATCATATTTCTTATTTTCAGGTTTATTCAAAATTTTTCAAAAATTACCGGAATTAGATGCTAACTCAAAGAGTGAAAATTGACAACCGTTTGTAGTTTGCTTGGCACCTTTCTTGATTAAATATTGTGTTAATATATCATTGCTACAATGTCTTATTTAAATTGATGAAATTTCAAAAAATCTTAAACTAACAAGTAAATCATCGATTTTTTCTTTGCAAGATTTCAAATAAAAGTAGAAATTTGACTAGCACTAAGTAGCAAAAACAAACCCACACACAATAGCAATCATAATTGGTGTAAAATTGTAAAAAGCTGCGTTTATGTCGCAATTATGTTGCAGCAATGTTTTCACCTAAATTTGAAAATCTAATAAAATAGCAATGTTTTTCATTTTTTTTCTCAATTCGAATTCCTCTTAAAACTTTTTTTTAGATTTCATATTTATTTTTTATTCTATCTTCTCAAAAAAAATTCGAAAAGTTTATGAAAAAACTTGCTTCATCTTACCATTAAAACGTTGCCGGTAACAGCAGCAAACATCAGTGGTGTGGTACCTGCTGGTAGTCCACTGAAATCATTGAAATCCATAATCCAATCTACAAGTGCTACCTGATGATCACGTATCAAACATCGAATATCTGCAGTATTTCTCGGTATTTCAATTATCTCTGAAAAAGATATTATCGAAAATATTTGTCAACACTTATCATTTATCATTTTTTTTGCAAAACACTGCAACCGTCAACATCTATGATGTTTTTTCACAATATATGTATCAATGAATATGTATCAATGAATGTTGACGGTTGTAATGTTATTAAAGAATTATATTCATTACAATATTAAATAGCAGTATACTTCATGCAGAGAATATATATGCAGCACAGGTAAACGTGAAATGTACACTTACGTGATTCTCGATTAGTAGGCGTTCTTGTAGTAAGACAGTGCATTACTGGTTGATTCAACAACTGTAAATCGAGGTCACGCAACAGTACTATCATTTTCAAATCCATCAATTGTTCAGCCACATGAAAAGCATCAAGTTCATAGAACATATCACGACATGGATGTTGTATAATACTGCAAAAAGAAAATTTTTTAATTTATTTGTTAAAAAAAAGAAAGGACCGGAATGATAGAGATGGAAATAGATGAAAAAGAAAGGAAGGATTGAGAAATGAAATAACCAAAGGATCTCTAATCAAAGTTTCTGTGAACTGTTGATTGAACTGTTCCAGCTCAGTCAACAGTTCACAGAAAGTCGGATCAAATTTATTGTATGTTACAAGAACCCGGCAAACTGTAAATGGATGACTGTTTGATATTGCTTTGTACCAATTGCAGCTATTAAAGGTGTTGGAGCACGTCGTCGTGTTTGACTCACATATTCACGTAATATTACCATCACGTTTATATGACCACCAGCAGATGCTAATGATAAAGCTGTTGTACCGTAAAATCTAAAATGTAACAAAAACATTTGATTTCAAAATTTAAGAATTTGCATGAAAAGAGAAATAACTTCTCTAAATGTATACAGTGAATTGGCTTGGATAAAGCTTTTTATGAAGTTTTAACATTTACAAGCCTATAGAATTTGCGCAAAATAAATTATATTTGTAAAAACTAAAACAAGTCAATTAAGCATGAGAAGCGTTGATGATGATAACAGGAATAGCCTTTTTACGTTGTCCTAAATGGATCAGCACCATGTCGGATTAGCAATTCAACTGCTTCAGCTTTTCCGTTCCGAGCAGCATGAAGTAAAGGAGTAAATCCACAATGATTACATTTATCAACCGATGCACCGCAATTTAGTAACATTTGCATCTGTAAACTAGAAAGCTATATTAAGCAGTGGTTAATATTTTTTCAACGAAATTAAGTGCTTTTTCAATGAAAATTCAATGAAATTAGAGCGAAATTATTATTTCAAACAAAATTATGTATGAGCTTTATAGACACACATAAGGGAAAAAACTGGTAGCAATGTTAACATCGGAAAATTGGTACTACGATAATTTTTACGAGAAAAATGGTTGATGTCGAAATATCAGAAACTTTGTTTAATGATCTAATCATATTCAAGTGTTATTCAATCTAAATTTCTATAATTTTAAAATTTAAAAGATTATAGTTACTTTTGTTCACAAATAAAAAGTTAGATATGGATAAGATGGATAGATTTCAGCTATTTTTTTTGACAAAAATAGATGAAATAATTTTTTTGCTTAAATGCAAACCCACTAACTCCTGTATTTCAACTTTAACTTGAATAAACTCACCATAGGTAAGTTACCTTGTGCAGAAGCAATTTGTAAGGCTGTGATATGATCATCATCCATAACATCTGCTGATAAACCATAAGCTAAATTATTACTGATTGTCTGATAATTAGCCTCGTGCGCAGCAACCAAAAATGCTTCTATTTTTTCCCACTCATTCGTTCCACTTACTTCTGTTACATCCATTCGTCTGTCAATAAAAATTTTTAAAGCATCGAATTATTTGAAAGCTCAAACCTAATCACTTGTAAATTGTTAAAACATTCAAATATATTCCTATCCTATGAATTTTTAGCAAATCCGTCCGGTTTTATTTTTCCACAAACAACTCAAAAGTTGAACTTCTCTAAAAGAATTTCAAAAAACTCATTTCGTTCATTGTTACCTGTAATTAACACATTTTTTTGGGCCACGACTATTGATACATAAAAATATTGCTGTTAATAGTTGATATCGATGGGAGAGAGAGAGAGAGAGAGAGAGATAACGTTATGCTATCCATATACTCAGAGAGATCAATAATGATCACTTAGAAATTCATAACTTTTTAAAATTGATAAATTGATAAAACTGATTCCTGACCCGATTAAAAAATGATAGTATATCAAACATTTTTGAATATTTTAAACAGATTAAAATTGTTCAATTTTGTTACACTGAACATTGTCCATCAAACAATTATATTTTTGGAGAGTATCACCGGTTTTTTTTCCTTTTTTCTTTTAACTTAATTCATTTCCTCATTTGATCATAATTTGCTTCCTGAAAACTAATATTTATTTCTTTGTGTGACATATGCTCGGAAAGAATTTCATCGATCTAAGAATAAAAACAGAAGAAATGACTCAAATTCATTAATTATTTAAGCATATTAGGAATTCTATTACCACACCTGCTTAGTCAAAGGTAAATATTTCATCTAACATACAAAACATTACTTATTCTCATCTTCTATTTATTTCAATAATTTTCATGCTGTTAATCAGGTATAATTTATTCATCAGACTAAAACGTTAGTTTTGAAGTCAAAGATTATGCAGCATACTATAACAATTGAAATGCAGTACGGAAATTGGGAATGGTTAACAAAGCGATTGTATCTGAATTTTAATAATCATAACCTTAAAAAAATAGAAGAGGCAAAAATTTTTTTCAATCTTTTCAACGACTGTTATTTCATTTGTGAGAAAAAGAATTGATTTAACATATACTCAAAATTCATATTCCCACAAATTTTGTTTGTTTTTCTCTTCAGAAATTTTGAAATGATACATTAGTTTTAATTAAAATTTTCTATTATTCATTTCATCTTGCAGTTTTAAATTGGTGTTTGCCTCAAATGCATATTACAACGACACTGCAATTTGAAAAAGGACCACGAAAGGTAATAAAGCGTGCTTGGGAACGTCCATCATTTATGGTCGCAAAACGGAATGCCCGAGAACGGACACGAGTTCATGCTGTTAATCAGGTATAATTTATTCATCAGACTAAAACGTTAGTTTTGAAGTCAAAGATTATGCAGCATGAAGTTTGTCGTCAACTTCGTTTTCTACACTTTAATTTTCTATGAAAGTATATTCATTTTATTTTTTGAATTTTATTCGAAAAAACAATCTGGCAATAATTCATCATGTCAAAAGAGAAAAGATACTGAAATCTTTTTTATTTGTTGAAGATCTGACCAGTCAAGCTATTGGAGAGAAAGTTATTCTTGTCCACATTGTACATGAATTTGACTGTTGATTGATTATCTTTGGATTTTCTCGTTTTGAGAAGATAAAAGATACTTAAGATGGTTCCTTCGTCCGCCATACAATTGACAATTACATAGTAAAGACTTTCCAGAAAAGTGTAAACGAAATTGACGTAAACTTGAGAAAACTGGAATTTCAATATGGGAATTTATTAAAATTAAGTCAAATTAAATGTTTAGTAAATGTTTTATTTTAGGCTTTTGTTGCACTGAAATTTCATTTGCCGGCAATACGATCCAATACAAAAAGAGTATCGAAGTTAAAAATTCTAAGGGCTGCTATTAATTACATTGCTGCGCTGACCGATTTACTTCACGTATGATTTGTTTTTGCAATTTATTTTCAGACAATTTCATTTACCGTAATTTTATTGACTTATTGATCGATGAAGACAATAATTAGGCAGTATCGCAATTAGAATAAATCAATAAGTTGTGTATATGATACTTCTGGTAGCACTGATTGTTATACAAGTCTACGAATGGTATCGCTATCGATAGTTTAACTGACTACGAGCACTGTATTTATAGTTCGCTTTCAATTCGACTAAAAGGTCAAGAAGAATCAAATAAACGAAGTACAGATGTTTTGGAATATAGAGACAAAAGAGAGCTAAATAAATAAAGAATTATCTTATCATTTGATAAATGAAGCTAATCGATTTCATTCAAATTTAAAAATTAAAAGGAATTAATTAAACAAGCAAACTGAATAAAAAATGAATCATACGATTGAGAATATTTTGGACGGAACAATTTTTATAGTATGGATTTTTGAAATACAAAAGCACTTATTAAATATTTTAATATATTATTTTGGTTTTTTATTTTACTTTTCAGTAAAGGCCAAAATAATTGTTGCAGAATAAGTTTCATACTGCTGGGGTCAATTAGTGGTTGATTCTATTTCCAGTAAAATACATTTCATGCTATATTTGCTTAACTTTGCAGGGAAATACAGATTTTCCGAAGTTGAATGCATCGAACTATTGCTCCGAGGGCACCATGAATGGTGAATTAATTTAATTATTATTTTGGTTTTCTAAATTTTATAATTTCTTAAATTCTCTACAGTTTTTGGTTTTTTTTCAGCCTCGTCTGGCAATAGACGTGACAATCAAGTAACAAGTAAGGATAATGTAATGAAGAGAGAAGAGGCGCAACAACATCAACAACGCGTCGTACATCAAAACATCTACGATGCTGTTCAGTGTTATGATAAGCAGTACTGACTAACTGGCCATCCCGTATTAAATTAACAAATCTGTTACTTGAAAGTTGAATTTTAGCTTTGTTGAATGTTTGGAATGATTCACTAAAATCGATATTTGAAAGATCTTTGTGAAAGGATAAAATAGTAAAGGCTGAATTAATCGATCAATTCTTCATTCCAAAGTAAATCTGTTTTTTTTTTCCAATTGTAAAAATTTTAGTAAACGATTTGATATATCTGTGAATCAGTGGAAATAATCAGATCATTGTGATTTGACACCATCGATTAATTCATCTAATCAGTCCTTTCTTGCTAATCATCGGTTACTCTATTTTGAGGTAATGGCTACCGTATGTCAAAAATTATTTCATGATGAAAAATATTTTGAAATAATTAAAATACTTTTGTATTATGGACCGTAAAGATTCCTTGTTTAATTATTTGTTGTGAATTTTGTTTATTTTTTAAGTAAGGGATTTTGTATTGATATAACTGAGTAGTTTTGTAAAGATAATTATAATAGTTTGGTGGAAGTTTATTATTTGATAAAGAGTTTTATTCTTCTTAACATTATAAAATAATCATTCGAAATTATCAAGAGTTGTTGGGAAAAATCGAATTTGATTTATAATGCAAAAGATTTTTAAATAATCAAAGTAAATTTGTATTGTAGAAATTTACAAAAATAGTTTATCTTGAATATTGTCAATAAATGATTTATTGCCATATTGACACCTAGACGTTTAACTTTTTTTATTTATTGAATTGTGTGAATTACAAGACTAATTACTGTATTATTATTTAATTTATATTTCTTGACTCATGATTTGAAGAAAACTATTATTAATTGATCTCGTTTATCAAAGGGATCAGTTGTTCAAACACTTGACAATTCCTTGTTTACCATGAATATCATCTGTAATATGATCATGAAATGATTTGTTTGCTTGCTTCATTAATCTTTGATTCCTGAGGAAATATAAGCAGCTTTCTAAGTTACACTTGTAAAATTCAATTTCTTAATTTCAAAGTGTCTCAATGATGTTTCAATGTTCCGCTGCAGTAATGCCGTCGAAATTCTTTTCAGCTATTACTTCAATAAACGGTTCCAATTATATTCCCTCAAATCGACAACAAAATAAGAACAACCAACTGATCGATTTTGTCACTGATAATTTCTGAAAATCTTTTAATTAAATAATTAAGCTCTCACTACTATCTGATTGTGTTTTCTAAAGCTCTCCTTTAAGAGCAAACAAAAAGTTTACAACAAATGTAAAGTTGATCACTCAGTTGTTCATTCTGATTCGTTGATTTGGGGGAATAATTTGAGACTGTTTGTTGAGGTTGTGGTTTAAAACGGCTTTTATAGGTTATACTAATTTATTCGGTACAGCTGCTAACATTGAAACACAATGATTTCATAGTTGGGCAGTGTTCGGTGAACATTTTTGCAGTGAAGATGACAAATAATCATTTCGTGATCGTTTTATAGACAAAACTTACAATGCAATCACTAATTTCTAGAATCGTAATCATAAAACTGCGTAAACGAGCGAAGTTAAATGGTAATTAGTCATTTAGTTTGAGAATATTTATACAATTTTTATAGCATACATTTCCATAATATCAAAATACTTTAACACTTTTATACTACAAAATTATTTCGATCCGCATCAGCTAAGTGAGCGAGAATAGCATGAATTAGGAAGGTATCCGTCTGCAGACGGAAAAGCGATGAATTTGATGATTATGAGCAAGAAAAGAGCCAATACTTAAGGTCAGTGATAATGTCTGAGAAGGAGGAATTTTCTCCATAAGTGAACTGCTATAAGCAGTACTCATTAAGGGAGATTCCCCTCTTCTTTACCACTCTAAAGAAACAGTCTTATCATCAACGCTCTTCTCAACCATCAAATCATATCAACAAGCACTCTCAAATTATTCTTTTCATTCTGCACCGAACCACTGCTATCAGATCAACAAATGTTGCGATGTCACATCATTTCTCATTGAATTTGTATAAGCCAGAATGGTATATATGATGAAGGGAAAGAGCATCGAATTTGCATACATATGTAACTTTTAATTTAGAGGATGAAATTTTAATGATAGAGTCACACATTAGCTGAAATTTCTGGAAACTGTAACACTGATGAAGAAATAAGACGCGTAGACATGTGTAGATCATATCATGATTATTAATTTGGGCTAATAAATTCTGAATGATTAATTAGATAAGTCTGATTCAGGATAAATGATTATTATAACTTGGGTTTATTTGCATAAATCTAGATGAGCTGAATAAATGACTCGTTTGACAGTATTTCAAACTTTATTTGAACGAGTCTAATCATTAACGATATTCACAATCACTTGTACTTTTATTCATATAATTACACATATTAATATCTATCCTCTGCACAATTCAATTCATCCATTGATTATTTTTTTGATGAATTTCGTTTGCTCTTAAATAAATTTACAACTTATCGTTATTTACTTCTCTTGTAGAGAGAGCAAAATGAGAAAGAATAGAGAACTGTTAGTGACAAACAAAAAAGGACACTATGAAATGCATTGAAAAGTGTCCTCATTTAATTTTTGTGCCTCTTTTTTGATGTTCTACAGTCTGAAGCTGTTGTCCTCTTCTTACTGATGCAGCAAATAACTGCAGCAATATAATACCACCTGAAATAATTCCCAATGATATTTGCAAAGCAAGAAGGAGCTTCGGTCAATCGGTTCTGGCTTATTCATTTTTTAATATCATCTTCCATGTTCACGTCGAACATCCTTTATAATTATAACTGCATCTTGTATTTTGCTTATCATCATTCTTCTCATGGTTGTTGTTCTGGTCTTCTTTGAGTAAATTTACGACGATAAGATCGATAACGAACAATGGAATAAATTTTTTAAGTTACATGACGTCATCCCATTAAACTCAGCGATTCGAAATCAAGATTTAGTTTTGAATTACCCTTCCAAAAATGAAGATCTCTACTTGTAGTGCAAAATTGCACCTGTCGCAAAAGACACGATAGGACAAGGAAGTTGAAACACTGTAATTCACAACGAATCGATAATCAACATGAAAGGAAAATAATCGTTCTTTTTTCCTTTCAAAACCACTTTTTTCCATATTTGAGCAAAATGCTTTGAATAATAGTAATTTTACACATAGCAGCGTATTCTTGAACAATATGAAAGTGCAATTTATATAAAAGCTGATAATAGCGAAAGTTAGGAAATATATGAAAGCATTATTATCAATAGAAAATAATCCAATGTGAACCACGACTAACAAAATCACAAGCTACTTTTTTTAGAAAAGAACAAGCACAATAAATTAACACATGTAGAAACACATGCAAAAAGAATTTATTTCTTTATGGTGTTATTCTTTTCGGGTCACGTGGGAAAAGAGATGCCAAGCGTACGTTCCCAAGTCCAAGAAACAACATAGTTACACGTTCCAATCCTGAAAAATAAAGTCTGAACGTCCAGAAACGGACTAAGCGCAACCTGGAAACAAATTACATACCAATGCCACCTCCAGCATGTGGCGGACAGCCATACTTAAACGAGTCGATATAAGCTCGGATCTTTTCCAAGTCAATTTGGTGATGTTTAGCTCTTTCAGTTAATAAAGATGCATCGTGGATTCGCTGGGCGCCAGATAATATTTCTTCACCTGAAATTACAGTAATTTCGCGAAGTGAATTACGGTCAATAACAATTTTCAATATCCTAAGTTCTTCTAGTTGTCCTAGTACAGTTACTTAATTCTGATTGGCACAAGAGAAAATTTTAACTTTTATTATGTCGTCTTCATGACAAAAAGGTGTGATACGTTGATGTCACTGAGAGAAGCGAAATGACTAATATATCGTTACATTTCAAATACATAAATCCGTTAGTAAAATAAATGATATGTTAGCAAGATTATCTGCGTTGCTATAATTAGAAGTGTGATATTAGACCATGAGCAGTGGTTATCATTATTATAGAAGTTAAAATTGTATGTGCTCCGCCAAACAAACAATAAATGATTAAGATTATATCTCACCTCGCATAAACATATCGTAACTGTTAGAGTATTTTGGATCGTTTGCATCTGGCATTGTGTAAAATGGACGAACTGCCAATGGGTATCTGTCGAGTATATAAAAATCGGTCTCATATTTTTCTTTCACCAATCTACCTAAAAATCTTTCCACCGGAGTACTTAAATCGTCTTCATCTCCTATTTCCACACCATTCTCTCGCAACAGTTTGATAGCGTCAGGATATCTGAAATTTAGGTTATAAAAACTCTTTTTTTGGCATTTTTGCACTATAAGTTCTAAATGAAATTGTAAAAAGTGATGCGAGTAATAGCAACATCAGCTGAAGAGTAAAAATAATAAATTTAAACTTCTACAATATGTGAAAAAATCAAGACTAGTGATATGATCTATGAATAAATAAATAAATAAATAAATATATATATATATATAATATAGTGTATAACAAACTTGAGTATAAGGGCAGGTTCAACAAACTGGAATGGTTCACAAGGATACTGCTTGCCAACTGTCTCAATTTCATGCTTGAATTTCGCTTGCAAACCTTTGAATATATCAATCAGAACAGCACCAATTGTTTCAAGAACCTAAAATTCAGCTCTATGAAGGATTTTTGGCAAGCAAATTTATACTCTATCTTTATCTTTCTCTTTCATATCTTAAATATATAATTCACAATTCGAAACAAGCCAACCTCATGATAGTGGAATTTGAACGCCATTTCAATATCAAGGCCAACAAATTCTGTTAAATGTCGATGAGTATTACTGTCTTCTGCACGGAAAACAGCTCCAATAGTGAAAACCTTTAAAACGGTAAAAACGATAAAAACCTTTGAACAACAGGAAGGATGATCGTACAAAATGTGAAAATCGCTTACTTTGTCGAAATCTGCAGCGATCGCCATTTGCTTATATAACTGCGGTGACTGAGCAAGATAAGCAGAGCCTTTAAAATACGAGACCTGAAATAAAACTGTTATTTCAACTAAATATGTTAAAAAACTGCAAAAAGAATAATAACTAACCTCAAAGACATTTGCGCCTCCTTCACTTGCTGCGGATATGATTTTTGGCGTATGTATTTCCATAAAACCACGCTTCTTTAAAGTATTTCGGAATAATTCACAAACGCCATCTTGTAGAGAGAAAATAGCATGACTTGTCTGCGTGCGAAGATCCAGTACTCTTAACATCAACAATAATTTTCTAGTGCAAATTCATGCATTATTTCTACCATAAGTCACAACTGCAACAAAGCATTTTTCACCCAACAACGGTATTCAACGATCAAGAAATTTTGTAGTGCTAAGCCTTATTTCACGTTTTAGTACCCTGAAATGCATAATTTGCGTAATGAAATCAATTGCGTAAGCAGTACTCCTCTCAGCATCGAGAAGAAATGCATACTTAGATAACGAAAAGGTAAATCAACTAGTTAAGTAATTCACAACAATCATTTCGTCATCATTACAGCTGGTTTTAAAAATAACCTATTATCCAGGCGTGTGTCGAGATTCACAACAGATAAAGATGAATCGTCTGCACTTTTGCCTTCCTCTTTAATTCGAGTAGCATCTTCTATCTGCAGTGGTAATCGTGGTTCTGCTGCGCTAACAATGAATAACTGTGTGACATGCAATTCGACCTCTCTCTGTGTGCAGCTGGTGATTTCTTGTTCCACTTTTCTTACGACACCTCGAACATCAATCACTGATTCCTGAAATGGTTTCAAAATCGGGAAATATTACTTAGAAATATCAGGAAAACATATTCCATGGAGCACACTTTACCTTTGAAATGTTTCCAACAAACTTCAACATTTGCTTGCTAATCTCATTGCCAACGAACAACATTCCCTGTATGGAGTGCATTCGCTGACGAACAATAATGAAGCATGTTTTTCCCTTTATTCTCGAAGTGTGCAAACGACCTCGAATCCAAATCTGGAAAATCCAATAATCAAACTCTTGAGATTAACAAATTATTTTCTAATGTAATTGTAACAGAGACCTTCAACTAACAGCGGCAAAATTCAGTGGATAAGAAATTTTGTGGTGCTAAACCTAATTTTACATTTCAGTATTCTGCAGAGCATATTCCCGATTGATGTTTTCAACTCAGATTCAGATATTTTCATAATTTTTAAATATATATATATATATATATATATAAACTAAGGTCCACATCATAGCCCACCTCTTGTCCTTCTAAATTTATCAAAACGTCGTTAACATCAATGAAATCCAATTTCTTTCGTTCAGTAGACTGTATAATCCCGTAGGTACCATAGTGACCTTTTGATACATCTTCCTCCTCTTCCTTCTCGTTTTCTTCTGAACGTGCGGCTGCGTGCTAAACTTCCATACTGTTAGTAAAATTATATTTAACGTTTGCATAATACCTGATAAAAAAGGGATGTGAAAAATGATGTCAGACTAAACCTCAGTCTTCTTTTCCAATTTCTTCTGCTGTTTTGCCAATTTGTTCAGTTCTTTTTTCGACAGCTTCTTTTCACTTTCAGTTTCATCCACACTCGTTCCATCTTCACTTGTCATCTTGAATCGATTTTCTAAAATCATATTAGAAGATAAAACAAGGAGAGTGATTATATAAAGGAAAAATAACTCGTATATATACAGATGATTGGTATATATACATATATACATCAATATGACAAATCAATCAATCAGTTGCTCAGTCACTCCACATTCTAAAATCGTTAATCTATAAAAAAACTTCAATGCACAGGAAGACAAAACGTATGGACAACCCGCCTCCTCAACCGACCACTAAGTAACACTCCCAGAGTAATGAAAACGAGAGTGTCCAGCCGACGAACTGGGCCCGAGATGGACGGTCATCACGGTGGTCACTATGAAAACTGCGATTCAGTGGTATGTCTTACTGAAGGATAAGAATCGAGTCCGTTGCTACATTTGATATTGAATGTGGGAGAGAGTGAACTTTGTAATTAGAGAAGGATGTGATGAAAGCTACCCGTCGAGAGTATTCAGTGGAATATGAGTGGAGAGACCGAGTCGGATAGAGGCGAGATTATTATTATAATTCGATTGACAATCACTTTCTGATCAGTTTTGTATTCAAAACTTTATAGATGCAGGTGACACTCGAATGTTCCTCCCAATCATGACGAGAGGAATCCAACGCTTTCACTCTATTTACCACACTTTCTCTGACTAAAGTTTCAAATGATCAATTCATTTTAATCACACTAATCAAGTATTTTTTCTCTCTTCATCAGCAACAATATCAACTGCGGATGGAACGATGATGAATTTAAAAATGATTATTAGCAAGAAAAGGACTGACACTTTTTGTCTTGCTACCCGAAAACAGCGATACTTTTTTTAATTTGTAAATATTGGCTAATCCCCATAATTTATGAACCTTTAACTGATTAATCATACGCCATCTTTCTTCATTGGAAATACTGCGACTGTCGCAACTTTCAAATACTTCAACTCATTTCTTATACAATTCTCTGACTAAAGTTTCAAATGATCAATTCATTTTAATCGTTTTTCTTTTAGTTTTTTTAGCTTTGAAGAATCCTTCGAGAAATGATATATTTACGATTCTATCTTCAGACTTTGAATAATACCATCACTACTCACAGCAATAACAGTAAACTATTACCATTATTATTATGAGTAAACGTAGGACATACCACTGAAAATATTCATTTATTGATTGCTGGCAGTAATTAAGCTAAAAATATTACAAAGTTAGGAAACATGCAGTTAGATACAAAGTGTGCAGGAACACCGGTGAGGATGCTTTTTACACAGCGTTTACATACACATTGCAATTCATAGAAAACAATGATTTAATATGAATATATGAAAGAGACAGTAAAATATTTGTAAATTGCAATTCACTATAATAGCTGAATTTAAACTGAAAGATTAAAATAAATAAATATGAATAGAGTTAAGCAAAACAAGGTATATTTCAATAATGTATATATTGTAGAAACATGGAGAAACAGTGAGGAGAAGAATGGACTGGGTCAGGAAAGGGCAAAACTTTTGTAGCTGTAATGTCCAAATAGTAACAGCTAGTAGATGGACGAAGTGTGATTTCAAAAAAAAAATTCATATATGCAAAATATATTAAAGATAATGAGATTAGAAGCTCCTTTTCAAATTATTAGAGAAATTTACTTGCCAAATATTGGTTAAGTATTTATCAAATATTGGAAAGAGAAAATCAACATTTCACAGTGAAACTATTCCTCAACTATTGAGAGGCAAAAACCTTTCCAATCCATTCCATTCCCTCATCAAAGAAGCGTATTAATACCAGCTATCATATTTCTACCTGTAAGATTTGTATGGAAGGAAATACTCATAATATATTGGATTTTAGAAATATTTACATTTTCTTCATTGTTGCTACAAATAGCACCATTTTTTCGTCCTCACTTCTTTCTGATAATGAAATTGAAATCTGGTTTCTCGCTGGCACTTAGCCTCAATGTAGGGGAAATTAGTAATTCATCGGTTAAACATCTCGATAGTCGTAATTTGTTCTTAGACTTTAAAATTGCAGTTTTTACGATAACTGGCACTTCTCCGCGATGACCCTTTTTGACAGAAAGCCGCCTATCGAATTCCGCTTTTGCGTCGAAGTGTGGAATTTGAATGGTTCCCTCTGATGTAGAGGAAGTTTTTGTCGCCTCATCATCATTCATTTGTTCATTGCTTCTTTCTTTACATGACGCTAATCTGAAATAAGAAATCTTTAGCAGATGAAAATTTTTTTTAAATCTAGGTTTTTTTAATTTTTGAAAAAATTTCTAAAAAAAAACTTTTAAGGAATTTTAAAATTTCTTATTTTAGCATTCATCAAGCAACTTTAACTTACTTATTTTCTAGATTTTGCTCTTCTGTGTTTATTGTATCATCCCAAGACTTTTCAGGTTCTGATGACTTTTCTTCAGATGTATCGAGCAGTCCTGTTTCTTGTGAACTACTAGCCTGGCAGATTTCTGGTGTGCTGAAACCAGACTTCTTATCGTCACAGTCTGAAAATGTAAAGCTGGCTTCAGATGCAATCGCTTCGACAGATTTTTTCCCCGTCATAAATAAATGCTTAGGCCTACACGGCAACGGTGGTTTTGAAGAAACAGATGTTAGATTATTCAATCGTTGACATGCTGGCGCAATTTGCCGTCTGTATAAGCTTGTTTGTTGTATTTCTGGTTCCAGTCGGATCTCTTCTTCTTGATGATATTTATTGTTATTTCTTGTAAAACAGAACTCCTTCTTGTCAAAAATTTCCTTCAAGATTGGTCTCAATTTTGACTCAACAATTTCTTTTCCGATTTTTTGTTCTGATGCAATATATTCATTAGTTTCAGATTTGGTCATTATTGATTCCTGGTCAGTTCTCGATGAAGTGCTGCTTTCTGAATTATTTATAGTAAACAGTGAGGGTGAAGATATGAGAGATGCCACGTCAGACGTCAATAAAGCTTGATCTTGTTCCTGAAGACTCGGTTCTACAATGAATTCAATTTGGGCTGTACTAATATCGCTGAAGCCAATAGCTCTTAACTCTGTTTCTCCAGAACTGGAAGGTACTATGTCCGAGAAGCTTTTCCAGACTGCTTCATAATTATCTGTTTCTTCGGTTATACCCTGTGAATGAGATATGGAGAGATGGTGTCTTATCTGATTTTGATGAGTCGATCCAGTTGGAAACATTTGAAATTGCAATCCAGGTTTTGACAGTAATTGTTCCGTGGATAAAGGCATTGAATCAAATTCAGGAGTCTTTTGCAACCTGCATGATGGAGGCTCAAAATTCGTATATTTTTCAAAAAGCATTTCTTTATCCAAGAGCTCATTTTGGGACTTTATTTGAGTTGTACCAAACTGTTCTTTTGGAATGATTTCCATCAAAGACATATCGGAACTGTAATTCAACATTTGCATTGGTGAATTATCCGATGAACAGTTAAAATCACCAAAATGTATTAGTGCAGCTGTTTCCATCTGTCCTGTTGAAGCACCACTTTGATTATTTGAAGCTGAAGGATTCACTTCGTTACTCGTCCGTATGCCGCTAGATACCACTCCGGAAAACAAATTTTCCCGACTGGCAAGGAGTTCGCTCGTGGTAACAGTGTACTTTTTTTCTGCATCATCCGGTTCCACTTCAGAATCAGTTTGGTTCTCCGCCTGTTTCGGAGGAAATTTTGCATCAGTGATAATGGGTGTTGCAATTCCCACTGATAATTGTCGTTGCTTACTGGTTTTCAATTTCTGAAGAGGTTTCGAAATTTCTCTAAACTTTTCATAGCTTCCTTCTCCTTTGACTATTCTATGTATCTCATTGATATGATCCGGAAGAACCGCATCACCATCATTTAATTTGTTTTGCACCTTTTCTTCTTTCTTATTCCGTTCCTCCGATATATCGACTACTGAATCAGTTTCCATTTGTTTTCTGTTTCGCATCGATTTGTTGCCTAAATCAGCTGAATTTGAGAGGGTTGTGATGGAATCCGGTCGCACTGAAGTTGGCAATTTAGCTTGAAGTGGAATCGAAGATAGACCAGAATTGGAAATGCTTTCAGATGTTTGCTGCAAGTTACAGAAACTTTTTGATATCTGATCACGACTTAATTCCATCTCCGCGTAATCTTCGACAACAATCTGGAACAAAATTCGACATAATCAAACAAATTTGCTAAATTCATGGGGAACTGCAGAAAGATCTTAGTAACCTTATAACAGTTATGCTCTTTTGCTCTTTATCCTCTTCATCTATCATTCTGCTTATTAGCCCCAAGTCATTAAATTAGTAATTAGTTGTCGTCCAAGATGACTGGTTATTTGTCCAGAAAAGTTTCATATCGTCAATACTTTCTACTAATTTTCAGTTACGGAAACAATAGCAAGAATCAATTAAATTTATTGAAAATATTATATTTGTAGAGAAAATGTTTGTGAAAAACAAATTTTGCTAATTTCTCTGACTGATTATTTTCGCAGTTTACGATTGTAAACTGTTTACGATTGTTAGTGTTTTTGTCAAACTATTAGTTGTTTATTTTTTTAAATTACTTTTCACAGTTCGTGATTAAATTAATAATTAATTACTGTGGTTGAATATTTGATCATTTGGATAACCAATAAAATACACTAAATCAGAAGTCTTAAAAGAAACACTATAAGCAAAAAGATTATAATTATAAAATTGTTGAAAGATTAACAAAGATTGTCACGTCTTTTTTAGCAAAAAAAAATTATTTACCATTCTATCCGACATCCCTTCGCTATTGTACTTATCTCGAGTTAACATGTCATTAGAATTCGGATCGGTGATAACGCTTGCAGTGGATTTAATAATAACATCTTCAACATGCTGATTGATATTTTTCGTTGGGATTCGTTTCGTCTGAATTGATATGTTTTTATTCATTCCATCGGATTCCACTCCAACTTCTTCACTCCCATCAATGGATCCTTGTTGTTTCGGTGTTGGAGAATTGTTGGCAGTGAGGAGAGTTGATGTTACAGTATCTGTTATCTGAATTGTTTCTGAATTTCGTCGTGAACATTTCCTTGGCTCATAGTTCACTTTTATTACTGAGTGAATAATCTTTCCAACAAATTCATTTGCGTAAGATTCGATCTTTGAAAAAACCATATTTGTTTCAGTATGCTTAATAAATCCCCCAATGTTCCATTCTGTTTCAGAAATCTCATCTTGAATTGAGGAGGGAAAACTCGTATCAGCACCTTGCAATGATTCGGAAATTACTGTATCTTTATTCGTTATGTTTGTTATTGATGCTATCTTGTTTTCCTTCTGATTCATGAAAGACTGATCTTCAGTAGGATTAATTAGACTGGATTCAAGGACTTGATGAACAGAATTGGATGAGTTTAAATTTTCGAAATTCGTTTTTATGCTGCCCAAATTTTCGGCAGTAATCTGACAGACATTAGACAACTTGGACTTTGGTGCGTAATGTCGACTATTCAGCGATGATTTGAAAATTTTCAAATTTCGGTTTAATTTCAAATCACTTGGTCGTGGAAATTCAAATTCTCCATTACCAATGCCATTTCGTGCTAATAAAACAGCTTCAAATTCAGTTAATATTGTCGGCTTCTGGTATTTTAACTTTTTCTGAGCAGTTTTAATTTCGAAATTACTAGGAAGCAATCGTTTCTGGCATATTTTTTCAGAAGTTGGAGTCTTTCCGGCAGTAGTTAATTGTCCATATTCAGCTAAAATAGCAGGACCATCTTTGATACGTCCCAATGCAGAGTGACAATTCAAAAGATTATCAGAGTCACATTTAATACAAGCTTCAGGAATAGAAGCAAATTGCTGTTGATTGTCAAGTTGTAGGTGATTTTCACTCCCAATATCGTTATTGTCGCATGACTGATCATCGTTTACAATACTGTTGTTTACATCTTCGTTCGTGTCATTATTCATCATTGATCGTTGACGTCTCAAAAAGAAAATGTTTTCAATCATATCGCAATATTGTTGTACTTCATTAAACTGACTTTCGCTTAAATTAGCTCGACCGCATTTTCGGGCACGTCCTGCTGCTTCATAACACTGCCGTATAATCCCCTGAAATCGATACTGTGATAATTCGTCGCATATGAATTGAATCACAAGAACATTTGCTGCGTCATAGTATCTATGTATGTAGTTACAGTAATAGTTGTGCCCGCAAAGCCTGTCAACAATAATGTATCATTTATAAATAATTTAATATCGAAAAAAAGTTCTGAAGAAGGTTTGGGATTTTGATTTTCAAACTAAGCAATTTTCACAATGAAAATTTGATAGCGCTGATGAAAATTCGGAAAGAGAAGGCTTTGTCATGGAATGAGTTTTATATTTTCATTTTGCAAATTGTAAAAATGAAAATCTAACATCAAATAATATTTTTTTAATGTACTTTTCACGAGAAATCTTTATGACAATTAAATGACTTTATCAATTCGGTCTTATTTAATTTCGGGCAGTAAATTGCAAATAAATTTATCGTTGCAGAACTATCAACATAAATTACTTTCTCTTTCTTTCGCTTTTTATATCATAACTTAGGCCTATAATTAGCTGTTTTAATGTAGCGTTCCTAACTATTATGTAACATAATACCACTATTTATATTTACGATTGGAATATTACATAACAGTTACACAAAAATTTGCCTTAATGGCAGTTTTCTCATTAGCTTCATTGCTGAGAATATAAAATTAAATTGTTACATTATTAATTCTAAATTGCCTAAAATTTTATTATGTTACAATTTGCGGTGAATAGCAAATATTTTCAATCATTTCTTTATTTGTGAAAAAAGAATCAATTCAAGTTTATTGCCACAAAATAGACCAGAAAGATTTTACTATCCTTCGGAAATTTTTTTTTTCTTTTATTTTTATTACTCTTTTAATACAATGACAATATACTTCCACATATTGATTAAATTAGCATATACATTTTCAGTCTATTCGTTGACAAATTGTTGTGTTTGTTTTTTATGGATCAAAATTACTTCGATTTATTGCACAAAAAGAAAACTCCTACAAATTTTGTTTTCTGTAAGTTCATTTTGTCCGTAAATTTAGTATCAGACACCGAGAAAGTTACAGGAGAACTCAATCGATCGAAAATGAAAAAGGAGGTATGGTTTATTGTGGGATGAAATATTTGAATTATTTAAATTAAAATAGAATAGGAACAAAATGAAATACCTCATCACATACGTCTTTGTACAATGAATATAATAATGCAATGGAAACATAGGCAGCCATCAGATCGGATTCATTCCCTATAGGCCAGCAATCCAACATTGCATATTTGATTTTAGCAAAATGCTTTTCAATTTGTCGCCATTGCTCTAACATTCTTGTTTTTCTGAAGTATGAAAATTCTGTCCTTTATAATTAGCAATCACTAATTGCAAGGCAATTAATGAAATAACATAAAATCTATCCAATAGCACATATCAAACAAGGCAATTAAAACAAATCATTTCATATAAGTATTTTATTTTAACAACAGGATTAACAAAACCAGAAATATTGGATATAATAGCAAAAAATTTTGTAATACATTCCGAATACATTTTGCATTGAAAAAAATTTATAATATTTGCTAACATTAAATTTTTACCGATAAAATTCAAAAAAATAAATAAGTAAGAATTTTAAAAATCTTTAAAAAGAAAAAGTGATAATTTCGAATATTGTAAAAGATCTTAAACATAAGCTCTTCACCAAATTTTTAAAAACTATTCTTAAATTTGAAATGAATAAGAATATATAGAATTGTAACCTTTCTTGCGTGCTAATATCTTCTTTCTTGAGATTACTGCATGCATGCAAGTATACTTCTCTCACAATTGCAATATAACTAATAATGACGGATGGTTCACAGCCTCGAAATATTACAATCTGATCCAATAAATCCATTGCATCAATGCAAACTGCAATGTAACTTTTTTGTATTTCTCATAAAATTTCCGAAAAAAGTTGAAACAAAAAAATGGCTTAAGAATTAATTGAATTATTTCCGTCAATGACTATCCATCGATTAACATGGATATGGGAAAAATCCTAAATGAACAATTTTTTGAATTTCTATGAATTCCTAATTTTGAAATTATTTTAAAAAAGGTTGATCTAATCTTAGGAAGAAAGTGAGCAAAAGATGAAATGTCAGGAATGAATTATAGAAATTTGAAATGTATCAACCATGTATGGAAAAATGAATAAAAATTCTTGAAATTCTGTATATACCATATAATAACAGCCAATTAATAAAATTTGGAGAAAAAAAGAAACAAACGAAGTAAATATATAGGAATGAGCAAAATATGTTGTTGAGCTATGGTCAATAGTAGCCTTCGATTCTCATTTCACATCTTCAGGGCGTTGTTTTGAAAGTTACAAATTTATATCAATTGCCACCGCCTTCTTAGAAATAGGGAACACGGAATTGATCAGTTTGTTTCAAAGGTAACATTTTTTTTTTTCGTTTTTTTTCTCGCATTTTCCAATGACTTTTCTCTTCTTGCCATGACACAAATTCGGATGTGAAAAGAATTAATTGAAAATATTGGAATTTATGGAGGAGTGATTGAATTTAGAAACAAAGAAGGGTTTAATGATTAATGAAAGTAGAAGGAAGCGGTGACATTAGAGGGAAAAGTTTAATTTAATTTAACTCTTCTATTTATTCTTTGTATTGACTCAAGCTTTTTTCTCAAATTTATTAGAACAGAAGCAAAAAGTTGAACAATTTAAATTATAAATTTTGGCAGATTTAATTTCTGACTGTAATTGCTCCTTGCAAACATGCTCGTTTGTTTTTTGTCATGACACAAATCGGGTTGTAAAAGAAGAAATGGAAATATTAGTTGTGGAATTTATGAGAACTTTTACACTTTGATTATTTCAAGAAATAATTTAAATTAGAAAATTTGAAGATTGGCTATCAAAAAGCAAACATGAAAGAAAACAATTTGTCGCATTCTGAAATATTTATATGTATCTATGTGAGTGGGAAAAGAACAATAAAAAAAGTTTAAAAAATTTTAAAACAATGCAAGCAAAAGCAGAGTTTAAAATTAAATAATTTATGCTAATCAAATTAGAAATAAAGAAACAGTCAAAGACCAGAAATCTTGCAAAACAACTTTTAAAAAAGCAATATTTAATATAATTCTATCTTCACCACTCTCCTTATTTCCTTAAAATATCAAATTTAGACTCAATTACCTATTCCTGCAAACCTTTGGAAAAGATCACTTTTCCAAAGAAAAATATAAAGTCGGTCAATATTTTTTCGGTTTAAACAAAATTATTAATAAACTTTGATTACCCGGGTACCAATCCAGTTTACGAAACAAATTGTAAACATTTACTCAAATGAAAAAATTAGAATATTTTACAAAAATAAAATAAAAATCAAAAAATAAAAAGTAAAGATTACAACAATTAGGGTTAAAAATTAAAATGCATGCCAATTATTCTGGAAAAAAAAGATCTTGGAAAAAAGATTAATGTTCTGTGACATTACGAAACGGATGATAGCGCTATATTTGCAAAGAAACGCAAAAATTATGTATTTTAGAAAAAAAAAAAACTCAAATGACGACATTTTCATACATGCCTTGTCAATTTAATAAATGTTTTTGCACCCTAAGAAAATTTTAAAAAAGTGAAAAAAACATCTGAAAAGATAACAAAAATTGATCACTGCATTATTACGTTGATAAAAATGCACATGTGAAAAGTGCTTTGCGATGAAATTGTATTTTGAAAAATTTTAAATGGAAAATAAATAAGGAGCACATATCTATTGAGTAAGGCAGACCAAAAAATAAGCGGAAGACGTAACACATTCTTCTCATACCTGTAATATAACTTACTACTTTCTACTTTTAGATGGAGAAAACAAAACGAAGGACAGAAGCTAATGGAATTGACTGAATAAAAACGAAACGAAACAAAAGAAAAAAAAACCCTATTAATCAGGTGGGAAGAAAATAATGAAATAGCGAGAAATTGAAATTGCATCAAAATTATGATATTTTTAATTATTTGATTCATATAGCAAACATAAATTTTTGTAATTTAATTTTTTAGAAAAATAAAAATAATTGAAAAGTTGAAAATGAAAAGCTATGTGGAATCGATATATTAATGAGAGTGGAGATGTCGTCCAGCTGGTATCAACTTGCTCTATTAGCTCATACTGGTTTTGTTTGGCATTCTCTCTTATTAACAAACACTTTTAACAAGTGACATTTCCTGTCCCTCCTATGATTCATTCTGAAGTAAGCAAGAGCAACTTAATGAATATTTTAATGAATAAATAAATAAATAACATGAAATGTGATTCCGCCGGTTTCTTCTAAATCACAAAATCACATCTGCTATGTTCCGCCCAAGAATTACCGCAACTTTTCTCAAATGCAACAATCAGAAAGGAATATAGCATCAGTCATTAGCATTATTATTGAGGTGAAGAAATTTCAGACAACTTGTGAATATCTCATCAAATCGGTCAAAAAATATATCTCCGTTTCTACTCAAATTTTTCAAAAGTCTCAGACATTGCCACCTATCATAGGCTATATACTCTGCCCATTTTAAAGTATCATGTTTTACGTTTGGTCACTTTTGCATATATATAAATGGATGCTTTAATTCAATCTCATCGATTGTAGCATTTAACCGGAAATTATTTTTATCAGTAAATTCAAAACATCGATGTATGGAATTCAAGAACAATTAGCAATTTTAACGGAGTAATTTGAATTTTTCTTTTTTGAATTCCACGCTTCGAAATTTTTAATGCTTGAAGTCTCATGGAAAATTTAAAATTATAAAGAAAGAAATTTGACGAATATTAAAAAAACACACAGTAGATTGAAGAAATTTTGAAAATATAAATTTTGATGAACCTTGTTTACTGTCTTCAAGCCGCTTGTATGATATATTTAGACGCCCATGGAAGGCTCTGTAAATGTTGTACATTTCCGCACCGCTAACTTTCACTCTCAGATTCGATTCAGAATACTGCCGTTTCGCATTAAGGATTCTTTTAATATACAACGGTGATGGAGAAGTATGAAATGAAGATTTATCATCTGCTGATATCTTATCTCGTTCCATACTTCCAATCCTGCAAACATTCGGACATATTTTATAAAGAAAACATGGAAGGAATGTAACTATTTTAACTGATTAAAAGTTTATAAATGATGCTATGAAGAATAATGTCTTGAATAAGATATTGTTCGCAATTAAAAAAAAATTATGCGTGGGCAATATCAACCATAAATACGATTATTGTAATCATTACTTATTGCTGTAAAGAAATCTATTTAATAAAAATATTGGAAAAATAAGAAAGGAAAAACATGCTGCATTTCAAATATTTTTATTATTTAATAATCTTTGTTTGTTATTAAAACAATAATGATAATTTGAAAATGTCCACCACTTGAGGAATAAGAACGATAATTCATATATGTAAGCTAATATGTGCAGTAAGACTGAGGAAAGATTTGTTAGCTTTCCAATCATTAATGCACAAATAAATGAAATTCGAGACGAAATGACCACTTGCAACAAAGAATTCGCAAGTGATTGCTGAGAATTGTACACATTTAAATAATAAATTGTCGACTTCTTATACAAGTTTCTTTTATTTGTTTCCAATCAACACGAATGATTTCATTTCAGGGAAAACATCCAGTCAAGGTTTTGCAAAGACCGAATGGACATTAATATCATTATCGTTATTATTATTTATTATTGTTATCATTGTTACTTATTATTATTATTGTTATTATTGTTGTTTATTATTGTTATTATGGTTGTTATTATTATTGTTGTTGTTATTATTCTTGCTATTGTTATTATTGTTATTGGTATCATTATTATTATTACTAATATTACTATTATTATTGTTATTGTTACCATGTTTGAAAAGGTTATGTATAATAATTTTTATCAGGTCATACTTGAAGATGGTAAGCATTTGTCAACAAATTCAATCTACAAAATTCAGCATTCCAATTCAGGAAGAAAGAATGCAATGGCTAGAAAGAATGGCTGTCATTTTTGAAATTTTAAATGGCAAATGATGGCGGAAATTTCAAACAACAATAATGAAGCATACTACTGAAATGCTATAACAAAAGTAAAAAAAAAGAGAAAAAGTTTTCGATGAATCACGTAATACTGCTCATGTGCACACAATGCGTGCTGTTTCCGGAACTGTCAATTGGGTGGAAAGCGAAGGACAGGAAAATGTGCACTTTGCAGATGGAATGATCTGCCACATTTTTACTACTCGGCAAGTACGAATTTTTTAATTCTTAAAAAATTATTTCAATTAATAACGGCAGAGAAGTCCTCATTAAATTACTGGAAATGACAATAGTAAGTATGGCGATAAGATTTAGAAAAGGTTTATACGAAAACTGTTAAAATCATTTTTAGTGCAACTTCTTCATCAAATCAAACTCAGTAAAGTATTGTAATTTGAATCTATGAGTATGTGTAGGTCTTCACAGCTCAAAGCTTCGCTTTATTTTAGACTTTAAATAAAATCACAGAATCTAGATCTAAAATTTGTTGATGAGAAGTGAGGTTATGAAATCTAACCTCAAATACTCTGACAAAAAGTGATAATCTAGAATCTAGATCTAAAATATTTTAGTAAAACTGGTAATAAAGAAAAAAATATAGTTGTACCTCCATTATTATTATTATCAGCACAATATGCAGCAATTTTATTGATTGATAGATTTTTTGACATAAATTTTATAATAAAGATAAAAATCAAAAAGATAAGAACAGAAAGAGTAGCCAAAAATGAAGAATGTAAGGATTGTGCCATGTAATAGAGAGATAAGCCTTATCAGTTATCAGTTAAGTCAGAAAAAATCTAATCAACAACGGCAAAGCATTCTTTTGAAAAAAATATTCTCATTTTATTAAGCACTATCTTTAAGGTGCAACTGGAATTTTTTTTTTTTAAAAATGGCACTGTGTACATAATAGCTCTTAATTGTCTAATTTGAGTTACTTCATTCTCTATGTAAATTGATAAATGATATTTAAACACGACTAAAATGACTTTTATGCGCAATACCTTAAAAATTACTACAGTCAATAATTTCAAGTTCATATTAATTTTGCTTCAATTTGCCATCCAATGCAAAATTAATTTAGCAGTTTAATTGTATCCTTACACTGGAAATTAAATATTTCAGAGAAATGTGTTAAATTCTGAATGGATCAATCATTCGATGTACCAAAAAATTATTTTTGGAAAAATTCAAAGAAAAATTTAAAACCACGCAGAACTTTGACTATTTTGTAAAAAAAAACTCATGACTAATGAATTGATCCAATGGATGTGAATTATTTGCATATTTAGTATTAATGATAATTTAACAATTATCACTAATATTAAATTAACAAGATTGAAGTAAATATCCACCAAGTTCCTGATAATATATATAATTTTCGAGCTCGTTCTACTAGGAAATGAGAAATATCAGAAAGTGTAAGTAAAAATAGAATTTAAATAAAATTGAAATCAAAATTTAAATTGAAGGTTGGAAACATAAAAGGTCATGTCGTTTACACATGCCAATATGTTATTTTTCCACCATTTTTTTTTCACCTGACAAAATTTTTTAAAGTGGAGAACTATGAGAAAAATATATTCAATGAAAGGAAAAACGGAAATGAATTTCCATAGTTGCAATGCGAAATTTAGCTATTGCTCAAGAAAAAAACTGTAAATCGAGTTGCGTCTTTCAATAATAGTATAAATTTTTGATCAATTCTGCTTATATTAGTATTACATAACAGAAAAGAAATAAACGAATGATTTCTACAATTAATCATAACTAATTTCAGTGGCGTGATACTTTTCATCCATAGCTTATGGGAATAGTTTACTTTCAAAATCGCTTTGTTCTTTTTTTTTTGCTAAATAAAAAAGGCACTTGATATTTGATTAAACTAATTTGTTTATTGTATTTTCATTTGATGCGAGAATTATTTGAGGGATTGGCAAATGGAACAGATAACAGTAAAGATTATATAAAGGTCAAGAGAAATTTTTAATACATACATGACGATATATTTAATTTTTAAATTTGTTCAAATCATAAGATTATCATACGTGCTGTATGTGTTAATTTTGCTACATGGTCAGTGTGGAAAGAAATGAATAATTTAATTATGATAAAATGATAATATTATACAGGGTAAAGAACAGCTTTCAAACCCACCTCTATAATTTCTATAGTTACATTTTTTAAATCGGAAACAATTCGTAATGCCAAGGTTGTAAATGATCTTTGTGGTACAATCACAATCCTTTATTGACTCTTATTGGTGAGAGAATACTAACTTTTTTGTTTGTAAATAAAGATTTCGGTGAGGTATGACAGTATTTTTGGAATCCTCGAAAATTTCAACTTAATACTGGCTCTAAAAAATCTTTAAATGAAGGGAGTTTTCACACCAAATAGAAATAATAGATTTTTGTGTAATCAGGAAAATCCAATAAATGGAAAGACATGAACTTATCAAAGCTTATCAAATCTCAAAGCCAATGTTATCACAATTATGCAAATTCGATTATAACTAAAAGAAAAAACAAAGCTGAGGATAGAAACAGTGAAAAAATACTGAAAGAGTTCATTAATAATGAATGACTTGAAGTTTAAAATACAAATTCAAAATTGAAAGTTATGCACTCTCCTATATTAATAATATAGCAAGATAGTTATTATTCCTAATTTCCTAAAAACTGTTCATTATATTTGTATTTCAATGCACAATTTCACAAATTTTTCAAAAAAAGACAAATTTTCATTTGCTATGACAGCTGTATTAACATTTTTTAATTCTCGAAAATGAAAAATTTTCAAATAGAGAGCTTCAAATGAAAGCACTATTCGAAACAAAATGATCGTTTCAACAAGGAGTTTGAGGAAATGAAATAACATCATAAAATCAGAAATACTTGTAGAAAAGCAAGTTTTTTGAATCTGGTCACAGATTTTCTAATTTCTATACAGCATAATAGTATCTCGACGTAATCCCTGACATCCACTGCTATCACACCCCGACAGTCTGCTCTGTTTATTTTTCATACTTCAAAGTGGAGCACCACTGGGTACTGAAACAGAAAACACTAATGGATGTCGGACATGACCAACTCATAATATGTGCCAGATTTGTGTATCTGGAGCACACCATCATTTTATCAAAATTTCCGCATATGAAAAGCATTAAAACGACCTGTCTGCACCGGCAGTTCCACTATTCAATAATTTGCAGCTCTTTTACCGAATAGAAAGTCTGGTTAATTGCCTCATTTAATCCATAGACCTTTTACACAAAAGATTTGTCTTTTAAGAGCTCGTCCTTTTAAGGAAAACAATTATCAGCATCCAGCATGCTTTTAAAGACATAACGTTGTATTGCAAATCATGTCTTCCATGCAAATAAGTCTTAAACCATCAATATGCTCTATCAAAATTTCATATCTGTAATTTCCATCTAAATGAATGAATTACATGAGTATCACAAAGGATACTAAATTCTCCCTGTTTTTTGCTCATATTACTTATCATTTCATAGACACAACTGCGTCGCATATTCAAAATTTAGCAACGCAATAAATGCATGAATTCTATCACAACCAATGTAAATTATAACTGCAATACATCTTTTTGAGCTATAAAAACTACACGTATTTAGTGGTCATAAAGTCAACTGTTTATCTCATAGAACAAACATGAAATTATTCATGATTACACTAATATGAGTGATGGTAATCAGCTTCAAAACAATAACAATCTTCGTCATTTCGATATTACCAATTGGAATTTTGCGTCGAAGCACCCCAATCCTGTTGCTGTGCGGTATCCAGCTGCACGGCTCGTTCTGTTTCTTGTGCCCAATCACTTACAGGTTCAACCATACTGAAATCCAACTTTTTCGTTGGTTCAACGCCGCCTATTGTTTGATACTGAAATTATCCAGATAAAAAGTTTATTAAAAAATTGATTGAAATTTCGGACAAAAAAAGCTTCAGGACAGAAAAAAGCATGAAAAAAACTGCAAGCGATATAAGGAAAGCATTTCAATGAGAATTTCCACATGCCAACAACTTCTACACAACAGTTATATTAAATCAAAAATAAAGTAAAGGAAGTAAGCAAAGAAACTAAACAAATACCATTCCAATGGATCTTACAACCTCATCAATTTTTGCGACCTCAGGAGGCGGAACCCCAGGCCAAGAGTCCTTTACTTCACGCGATTCCGCCAATTCTTCCTTCTCTTGTTCTTCTGGATTACGATAAAAATATAAGTCAGGCATAATTTCCTTATCATCAAGTACAAATCCTGTCTGCCGTGTCATCTTGCCTTTAATGAGCAAAACTTCACGAGCTAACAGCCACCACATCAGTCCTATTGATTGCACACCCTGCAAACGCAATCATCAATGCAGACAATGACGGTTAAATTTCTGAAACTTAGAAATATTCATACGAAGTAAACACGAATATTAATTCAACAGTAATATAAACCTTATTATTGCATGGTATAGCAATATCGATGAATTTCAGAGGTGAGTCCGTATTACAAAAACTAATTACTGGCACACCAACATATGATGCTTCCGTGACTGCTTGATGATCGACTCGAGGATCCGAAACAATCAGCAACCTTGGTTCCTGAAATGGAAAAATCAAAGTCCTCCGCAGAGTGTTGAAAAACTAAACGGAAAATTCACTCAACCCAATTCTTCAAAGATGAAAAAGCAACAACTAGAGAGCCCCAATAAAGAAAAGCATTCTATCAGTTTTCACGTAATGAATGACCTTAAACTGTTTTTGTATTTGATTGGTTAAACAGCCTGGTGTAAAACGTCCAAAAATTGGCGTAGAACCAGTATGAGCCGCAAATTTAAGCAAAGCACGCTGCGCATATGGACGTGCTGATACGACACACACATCTGCCGGATTGTCGATAGCTGCAATAGCACGAGCAGCAAGTAACAGTTTTTCCCATGTCTTTCTCAAATGGATGATGTGAATGCCTAAAAATCAACAATTAATTCAAACGATTCATCCAAACACTGTTCAATGCATGAATGATCACAATAATTCGAAGATTTCCTTGCTTACAGAGATACTGTGAGTGACCGATGCATAAATAGCTAACATCGTGCAGCAGTACCAAAAGTGACGATCAAAATTCTCAAAACGATACTTCTAAAATAATGATTAACAAAATACAGATCATACTCAGTGTTTTCAAGGAAATGTAAATAATGTGAGACTACAAGAACAAACCATCAGCTCTCCTTTTCCACACGTACTGCTCCATTTGAAAGTCACAGTTGGCAGCACCCACATGAGTTTGACATGCCAGAAGTTTTATAGCATCTTCTTCTTTCAAAGCAAACGTTTCCAAACCCGCCGACATCGTTAACAATCACCTCACCTACAACGTGACAAGTGATTCCAACCCGTACATCCACCCATTCTCCCCCCCC